TAGACACCTAGAGATTAAAGATCTAAACCTACCTTGAGTACTTCTGTGGCAATTCCACATACAATAATCCCTACAGCTCATACAGAGAGGGTTAAAGAGATGAAGCTCAGAACTTCTTCCATGGAATGTGGGGCAACCTACAGAGCTGAGCCCTTCCTGCTCAGCCCCAAACTCACCCTTCTGAAGGTCCTTTTGATTTTCATTAATGTATTGCAGTGAAAAAGGACTCCTTTCCATTAATTTGAAAACAAGTGTCATATATGATTTTCCATGCAAAAAAATAATAAGCCTGTCCATGTTATAGGTGTGATGCCATTTTTGGGGAAGTTTCATAGGCCATTCTTCATAGTCTTATAATGTCAACTCTCAGCTCCCACTGCATGCCCCACACACGCCTTACGAGGCAACTGCTTAAACAGAATTAGTTACCCAACACATGGGTCTTCTCCATCCTGATTTGAGGTATTTTTAATCCTCTTTGCAGATATTTAATGACTACATACACATGGAAAAACATTGTTTAAAATGACAGTAAAGCAGTTCTATAAAGCAGGAAGCTACCTTCCTCTCTTACAATACTTCATCTACTAGTCCTCATCCAGTTTGCTCCTTGATGCTGTGCTAAGCTATCATTAAAGCATTTCCCTCCTTTCAGTTCTCCTTCCCCCCGCCCACCTTATTGTTTCTGCAGGTCTGCAGTACTGACACTACCTTCTGAATTTATTCCCTCTCACTGGACAAGCAGTACCCTTGAGACAAACACTCTTCTTTTTGTCTTTTTTGTTTGTTTGCATTTGTTTGTTTGTTTGTTGTTGTAATTAAAAGACAGGTTTCTTTGAACTTCACCTTCTTAAGCTCTCTCCAAGTTCACCAGCACGTAGGAGATGTAGAATACAGGAAAGATGCTGTCAGTGGTGATGCGCACTAGGGTCCACTAGCAAAGAACTAAGCGTAAAAGCACTCAATTGTGGAGATCATATGGCCACTGCTAAATAATGTCCTTTAATGTATAAAAATAAATTACTTTTAAATGTGTTTCCATGGCAAATGCAGCCACCTGGCATGCAGGTCAGTGCTTGGAAATGCTATGTCAAGGAATGGAGCTGACTATTTAATAGAAGTCAGTCACTATTCCCTTGCCCATGTTACGACTCAGTAGGCTTTGAAGCAAGCATGCTGGAGATGTCATTTTCCACTCTTCTTAAGCATCCACTTCAAGATACTTCACTCCAGGCTAGGAATGGATGCCCTCCATCACTGTAGTACTACTTACAAAACTTATGGCACATGATTGTGGTTACAACTTCATACACTGCAAGCATTTGTGCAGAACAAAGTCCAGTGTGTCCATATTCGCCACAACATATTCCTAAGAATGATCAGTTACCATCACTATACAGAAAAATACTTCAGGCATTATACCTTGCATTTCTCATGCCTACTTTTAAAGCAGAAGAGCAGTATGTTTTTACATGTGGAAAGAGGCCCTAAATTTTTCTTTTTCTGAGTAGCAAAGAGTGCTTTGTCAGAGGAAAGCTTCCGATTAAAATATTTCATATTCCTCCTCCAATAAGAACTGCCTCAATTAAAAAAGAAACAAACAAACCAACACAACAAAAACAACCTATGCTGGTTTTAAAGCCTAAATTTAGCAAGTATATATTCCAGTCTTCCAGAGAGAAACAATGTCATAGAATCAATAGCTGCCTCCCAAAGTCTCTGAATGAGGATCACATACCTTTCTGGAAGTCATGCTGTGATTAAACTAACCTCAGCAGAAGGGCAGCCAATTCCAGGGCAACTTTTCCACTAGAGGTCAGGCTGGAGGAGCTAATGATCTATGTTAGCCTTCCAAATCTATGAGTGAAGTTACTAATCGAGATTTGGAAGTCTGAATATTACTTACAGTGAATCACAAAGAGGTATTAGACTTCTAAGTGTCCAACAGCAGGAGATATTTAATCATGAGAGTATTTTAATGCCTGTCAATACAACCTTTCACAGAGCACTTGATGTGCCATCTCAGTTGGCAGGACTATGTTTGGAACAGAAAAGTTCTTTCTAAACTTCAACCTTGAACTGAAAACTCCGATAGCCTGAATAGTAACAGACAACATTCTAGTTACTTTAAAAAGGGTATTGCAAAGATTTGCCTTTTTTTATTTTCTTTTAGAAAGGGTTTAGGTTATTAAGTATTTTCCGCTAAAAATCTAGACAGAATTTGTTTCTGTAAATAACTAGGAAAAAATGCAGGTAAGAATGGAGCATATGACCACAATGGGCTTCAAGCAACTAGAATTTTTCAAAAGCCCCAAGTGATTTGAATTTAGAGCCTAGGTTTTTCTTTTCCTGTATTTTGGTGACATGCAATTCCATCACTTTCAGAAACACTGACTCAACTTCCTGAAATAAATACCTTGAAGGCACTGAAGTTCAGATATACACTTGTTTCTGAAAATGCAAGGAAACATTTTAATGTACCATTTATAGTCTTAAACACTTACTTCACTGCAACAGGAGAAAACGTCATGCTCAAATGGCAAGTCCTAGCCCAGAGCTCTTTGCCAGAGTCACCAGCCCCATCAACAATCCACGGCCTTCAGTGCATCTGTCTACAGCCATGAAAACCAGGACAAAGTAATTTTGGGCAAAGACACACAAGCATTTACCCATACAAACAAAAGCTAAACTCGGGAATTGCTCATATTTACACTTCTGAAAACAAAGAATCACATGAAATTCACAGAGATGAAGTCAGCTAACCAGGTCAAGTTTTATCAGCTGGCATTTTAAAGTGCTTCATGGTCAACTATTAGAACCACTTCAAAGATACACAAAGTACTTGGGAGAACACAAAATACAAGGAACAATGAGCAGAGAGAAGAAACCCTGTAAGTTTCTCCAGTCACCTAAGACTAGTGGTGCGAATAACAGGCATAACAAACAGAAATTCAGTACAAGGTGATGGTTTGACCTCCTTAGATGTCTCCCATGGACGAGCCTTTTCTGTACTTTTACCAACCAGGTCAAAGGCAGCATACCTGCTGATAACAGCCAGTTGCTTCATCAGTTACAGATTACTTCATGTAATGATTTTGTAAAAAGACCTGGCAACAGCAGTGTGAAATCCACATGGACGTGTTTTAGAAGGCGAAAATTCACTATAGCTCAGTAATAAATTCAACTAATACACTCTTTTTCCTTTGCTAGTTCTCCTGAAATATGCTAACCTTTTAAAATTTACAGCTGTACAACAGGTAGAGTGTACCTCCCTAGGGCATGGACTGGAGAAATGTAAGAGCTGTTTGACAAGGACCACTTCAACACACTTATGTGGAGCTGGCACTCAGAGTTTGACTGAATCTGGTAAGGCACATTTCCCAGATTGAGCATGTACCCCGCCCAGATGCACAGATGGTATTTGTGGGAGCAAAGGAAAATAAAATATAGGTTTAAAATATATGCAAGAGAAACACAGAATAATATTGAATCACTCTAGGTATTTCTAAGGGCTTCCATTTATCTTTTCTACTTCTCAGCACATACTGAGTGTATGTTCAGGGCTTTGAAACCACTGAGCAAATGGAAAGGATTTAAAACTAGTTTTGTTTCAGATGTAAGATCACAGAAATAAAGACAGGGTCCAGGTATTTCTCTTCAGACTGAGATTTCCATATAGAAACTTGATGCAAAAGGAGTTAAAAATGCTGTTCCTGCATACGTCTGGCAATGACAACTACACTTGTCAGAAGAGCCTTTTTGATGCTAAAGGAGAGGACTTGCTCTGCTGCTGAATTTCAAATGGGTCCCTCTGCATGGTGGCTACTTCCCCAACTTTGGTTTGGATGGATAGACAGACACAGCTTGGAAAAAGAGGCAAGCTACAAAGTAGTGAGGGAAATACAGCTTTATCATGATATAAGAAAGCAAGAATAGACACAGACCGAGTAGACACAGTCTGAGTTGTCAGGCTGACTACAACAACTGGTTTGGGCCACAGTTCAAGGCTCAGCCTCACTCCTTCACCCTCCATGTCCTTCTTAACCTGGAAGAGCTGATGACCTTTCTTACAATGACACCATCCAAGGTAGCTGTGTCAAGATCCAATAAAAAGCTAGCAGAGGAAGAAGGAACAGGAGGAAAATAGCACAGGTAGAAAACGGTGGAAAAAGAGGAGAGAAGAAACACGAAAGCTCATATTTCCCACTGGAGTCTCTGCTACCCCAGAGGTGCTGACATGTGCGTACTCTGCCATGTTAGGAGCTAAAGCTCCACAATGTTCTATCTTTAATCCTCCTCTCTTAAGCATCCTCCTTCTAGAGGATGTAGCTCTACATTATGTTACTTGTTACTTAGATTCAACTTTTGGTAAATCAATGTTAACTTCTTGATTTCAAGTCCCATGTTCTCTTCTTTAGCAGATATGATTTAAACTCGAATTGCAATAAAAATCCTCCTTTGGATTAAACCAATCTCTCTGCACACTTCCCAACTCCTGCTGCTACCTTTCTCAGCTGCAGCCTAACATAACACTGCCTTAACTTCCACCTCACAACTGTGGTTAGGTAGGTAAGCTCTCCAGTACAACTACTTCTCCTGTGCAAAAAGCAAAACAAAGTCTTTGGCATATGGAGGTGGCAGAGAGAATTCTGCAGCTCATCTGGGCCAATCCTTAGTGGCGCAACTTCTGGGCTGATGTGTTCTGACTTCTGCCATTTAAAACATATCAAATCACTGGATATAGAGACTCTTCTGGGAACTTCTTTTCCTTGAAATCTGTACTATTATTTAAGACACAGCTAAAACGAACAAACAAACAAACAAAAACAAAACCCCACACACACACAAAAAAGAACCACACAGTTAAACAAAACAAACAAATAAAACCCAGGAAAAGTCTTTAAAGAAAATATTTCAAATTAACACATCATAGAAAGATGCAAGCAAAGAGCAAAACTTCCTATCAGCAACATGTTTATGACAGCATGACACAAAACACTAATTACATATGCACATCTGAATTACTTGATATCCACACTTGCAAGTGTCACTCATTTTATGGTGAATTTATTCAAAAACAAAAACAAACTTCTATAAAGGGTCTACACTTTATCCAGTCAGGAAAACTAAGTTTGCAGTAATTTCAACAAAAATTATTACTTCAAATTTTTACTAGCATGTCCAAAGAGAATTTAGCCCAATATTTCCTTTCTTTAAAATCTATTCAATTGAAAGAAATGGAGCTGCAACGGTTTAGGTTTTTTAATCCCAAAGTGGATTATACAAACAACATTTTCATCAAAGACTTTTTATAACAAGCCTAGCGTTACTGGTTTTATCTTATTATTAAGGTAAGCATTCTTCAAAGAACTGTATGATTGGAATCTCTTCCTGATACACAGTGACATGTTATTTGCTGGCTGCAGTGAGAAGAGTCAAAATGAAAATGAAAATACAAACAGCCTTTTTTTAAACCTTGTCTTTATTGATTTAGACTTCAGAGCTACAGCCAAAAATAGTGCATCTGTAGAAAATTATCACACATTCTATCAATACAGCATCATCACATGTTTAGAATTGTAAGCACTTGACAAATTGCAAGGGGAACATCCAATCTAGCATTCGGCAATGCAAGGCATGAACAGGGAATACAGGGAGAAATATTCTTTTTCCTCCAAAAAGAAACATTTCTGAACAGGAATGAAAAGGCTCTTTTATAGAAAAGAATTCCAGTCACCACAGAAGACTCATATTGGCTTACTCACTGCTGGAACCATACACTGCTGGAAACTTTGTGTGGAATGTCGAATGGTACACAGAAGCCAAGGCTCTGCTACAGGAGCAACACTGTCTTCAGCACTTTGTATGCCATCGAGAAGGTCACTGCATAGCCAACTGCCCAAGACAAACCTCTGCCAGGCTGGGGAAGAGGGATCAAGTATGCAAAAGTGTGAAGGATCCTCGCCCCAGCAAAGATCCTGAAGTGCAGCAAGGCTGTGGACAGCTCAGGGCCACTAAGGGCATACAGTAGTCCAATGCCAACAAATGGGACAATATTTTCAAGGTCGTTCAAGTGGCCTCTGGAGAAAGAAGAGAAGTTTTTTACAGTGTTACATTTTTTTGAATAAACCACTTCAAGCCTAGTTATTTTTCAGTATCTTCAGAGCATGCTACTGTTCAGGCCCTAACACAACTCTGCTTCCTCTGCAGCAGGGACTTGATCCAGCTACTGAAACAATTTTGGCTCGTTCACCTGACTTCCCTCTGGTCTCTCTTGCTTCTGATCTTCTGTATGAAAGATGTTAGGTCTTCCCTCTGGATCTTGGGGATATCAGAGACTTACATGAGGTATATGAGTGCACCTGAGTGTGCAAGAATGCAAAGTCAAGGAAGAACAGAGACAGCTGTTATTTTCTTGTAGCCTCTCTCAATAGAACATCAACTGATGGATGGATGACTGTGACTAAAACTGCTAGACATCATGGCCTGACGGTCTATTCCAATCCCATAAACTCAGTTTGTGGTCTTCATAAAGAAAATATGAAACATCCTCCATATGAAACATTCTATCAAATCTCCATGAAGTTCAATCATCTTTAAGGTTATTTTTGAACATTTAACAGGTGTGACAGTTACACTTTTCGTTCATTTTCTTCACTCTAAGCACTAAAATAGCTGAAAAAATGTTTGAAATTTTGAAACCATAACATAATTTACTAAAAATGTGTTGAGACTGAACTCCATATCTTGAAGTATTCTTTCACACTCCATCCTGAACCTTCCCATCTTCCTTCACTTGTTTAGATAAATTGTACTTCCAGCCAAATTTACTGATTGTTTCAATCTCTAAGTCTTACTAATTATGTCATATTTCAGAGCCAACTGGAATCATAACATGGCTCTGTCTTACAGCTGCTTTTTAAATCAATTTATCATTACAAGGAAACATAGCCCTCCAGCTTTTTAATTCTTGTTCTCCCAAAAAAGTACTCTGAAGAAAGTAATCTTTTTTCTATACTCATAAACAGAACACATTCCAGTCACTTATACAGAAAAGAAGCCATTCTAAATCTATGCAGCATTATCTCTTGCCAAGAAGCTTGCAAAATACAGTACACTTCCATTAAGAACCGCTGCTGAGAGGAAAATATGGATGCTTCAACACCAACGGAGTAACTAGAACCAAGCTGACTTACTAGCTCTGGGGATATATGAAAAACTCTGCAAAACAGCAACACAGGATTTGATAATACAGTGTTTTAAAAAATCTAATCTATGTAAATGACTGAGGCAGTTGTAATTTCTCTAATATAACAATCTGAGTTAAATAGGCAGCTGGTCATAAAGTTAGTCTCAACTTAGTTGGCCTTTTGGAATTTACAAATAGGAAGAGATTACTCCTCACAAAAAAGTTTCCATTTTTATGTAACATCCAGCAAATTAAGCAACAACTCCCTGAACTATTCAGGGGCAGAAAAGGAAAGAGCAGAGCATCTTTACAGCCCACTGTGATTAGACTCTTCTTTTAGAGATTTTAATCCGTAAGAGACATACAGAAATATATTTCATGAAACCACAGTCATCATTTGCAAGGATGCAGTTCTTAAATCAGAGCTGGTATATACCTTCAAGATCTTCCCTACTGGTCGTTTAAATGAGAAGAGATCATTCACATTCAAGTTTTTACTATAAAAATAAACTTAGCTTCATTAAGGAATTATCATATGGAAAGCACTCCATTTCCTTGTTAGCACAGGTGTATCAAACATATCAAAAGCTGAGATTTTGGCAGTAGAAAATTTTGCCATCAGCTGAATAAAATTAAATAAGCTGCAATATTTAACACACTGAAATACAGTTTATATTCTGCCACAGATCTCACAAAAGAAAATACATACAGTGCAGGTTGCACACTGCTATCCTACTGAGAGCTGGTCAACTCTCCTGTACACTTGAGTGAGTGACCTTGATCTAATTTGGCAGAAAGAGCACAGGATCTGACTCCTACTCTGTACAATCTGCCAGATTAAAGCTCTCATTACAACTCTGGAGTTCCATGGCTTGAACATGGACTCCATTTACTCCTCCTTCTCCTGTTATTTCCTTTACACTTCAGGAAAAAATGTAACTATTCCAACTGGTGTTCAAATTAAGATAGAAAGTTGATTTACCCTGAATGGACACTGCTTCATATTAAATCAACATATGGTCATATTTTATAATCTTCTCACCCCTTCCCCCATGCATACAGGACACTATCCAAGAGTTAGTTATTAGAACCAGACAACAGCTTATCATTTTTAGTACACCTGTTGACAATTTGAACGTGGAATGGTTTGTTCATGTAAACTAATTAATGTATTAGATTACAATGTAAAGCAATATAAAACACCCACAGGCTTGCCAGAGAGAACAGGGTGAAACTAATTCCTTGGTTTAGTATTATTCTGCTACTTAGAACAACTTTTAAAGATTCCTCTGCAATACCTGCGTACACGTTCGACATCTGGATCAGTCCTCAGGTATTTCTTGGCACTGTCACCTTTTCCAAACGATGCTGTATCTTCTGGGTTCACAAATGCCTGTTCCAAACAGAAGCACACAAGAAACATTAAAAGCCAAAATGTTTTATCCAGTCAAGGCAGCTTGCTATAAAGGCCACTCTTTTAACCAATGCCTCTATAACCTCACATAACTTACCTTAGGTTGAATGCACAGGGAATAACATAACATTCACTGCATCACTGCTTTCTTAAGCACAGCCTGTACATACCTTGCATGCTGACAAGTTAATATAATGTAATTTATGTATGTAGATAAAGCCTTCTTCTAAGATGGAATAAGCCAGTGGGCTGAAGGAACATAGGCACCTGGAAGGCAGAAGGTTTGTACCACCCAAGTCTGTTTTTCACCATTCTTGACAAATTATCTGAAAGCCCTTCTGGATGCTTTCCTTCTTCAGAAGTTTATACAGCAATAGCATCCAAGAATCTTACTCCCAACCTCATTTATGAGCAAGTAAGTTTCTCCCTTTCCTCTTAGGTACAGATTCTTCCACTTGTATGACCCATTATTATCCCCAAATACTGCAAAACACTACTTGAAAACAACATTTAATCTAACTGCTTTCTTCCATTTTTTCTAAGCATTTTAAAGACTTCTTTATATTAAACAAAATTATTAGTACTAATTTTTCTGTTTGTAATATTACTGTCCTAAGAAAACAAATATTCCAAATTAATAAAGGTCCTGATGATACCTGCACACATAAGGATCATAACACGATATGAGCATTAATACAGGACTCCACTGGATCCACACACAGGTCTCACAAGAACAGAGATATGAGGCAAACTCAGGGCTCTTTCAGCCCAAGACCAAGTGTTTCCAACAGTGACCATGAGCAGACTCCTAGAGAAGATCAGGAACAGGGCAAACACAATACTATGCTTCCCATAAGCACTGTAGTCTAAGATAGATTATCTTCTGCAATATTTAGTAAAGCTCAGTGGATGTTACATGTTCTTATCTACTCTACACATCAATCTATGCAAATTTTCAGCCTGCCTCTCATGTTAGAAACAATTTCAGGTTTTTTATATAATGACCTACCTGCAATGGGAAGGCTAAAACAATTAGGGAGCATAGAAAGCTTTAGAATTACTGGATTAAAAGGTTATAGTTGCATAAAAATCTACCCGCTCTTCTGACATCAGTAGTTGGTTATTCATGTCATATGGCTCCATATCACACTTTATTTGCTTTAAAAATTGGGTACCCTGGACAAGAGTTTTCTTCAGAACATAGTGGAAATTACAGATATGAAAAGCTTTTATTTAAAAATAACAAATATTTTACAAGAGTAGGGCTAGTCAAATGCAACTATAAGATACAGTCTCATAATTATCTCATAATTAGGTTAAAGATATTATCCATTTAAGACCAACAGGACTCCAGCATGCCAAACTCAGAATATCTTTAGAAGAAGAAGGAGGAAGACAATGAATAGCAGCAGTTCTGAAAGCTAAAAAAAAACAAGTGATTTTTCTGTATTTCAATACAAATTTAAATTTATTCTACCAGACAATATTCCCAAATTCCTACCTTTCTTGTGATCCTGTAGTATGCTGTTACAAGACTCATCAGCATCATTTTCAGAAGAACAATAGCTGTGTAAGTGGCATAAGCCCGGAAGACTTCATTGTCAATTAATTGGGTCGATTTAGCCATTTCTCCACTTCTCACAGACGACCTTTAAAAAACATTAAAGTTAGGCTAACATCATTGCAATCCAAAGTTCTCACAACAACATTGTCAGAATGGCCTTGTTTTTTAGCATCACAGCAATGGCGGTGCAATTTTGCCACTGTGGAAAGTTTCTTTTCAAACAATTTTCCTCTGTTTACTTTCACAATGGCATAACATAAAACTTTAAAATTATTTAATATTTTGCTTCCATTATAACTGCTTAGTAAACTGTCAAAGTACAAACACCTGACTATTTATTGCAATTGCAGAAAAAACATTTAAGCCAGAAATTAGTATAATTTTGAAATAACACAAGCAGTTAGAATAATTTTACACCAATTCATTTCAACTAGTCAATTTCCTTAAGCAGTTACCAGGATAGAGTGTGTGACAATACTATGAATTCTACAGTATGTGAAGAGGAAAATTAGTATTGCCTAACCTTTTAAAAAAAAAAAAATCACAATTATAATTGCACTTCAGTTTTCAAACTAAGCAATATCTTCCTACCCAACAATAACTTGTAATCAAACTGAGTTAAAAATGCATTTTTCTCCTTTGAGACCTTGTTCTTAAAAATTGCTTTTAGCATGATTCACAGGCAAAGATTAAGTTATAATGGCAAAAAGGAGAGAACTATTTCTGCTTTTATCATGGGAGGTTTAAGCTAATGAAGTGTCTTTCCAGTGAGGCCGTACCAAACCCACAATCCTATGGAAGCAGTACCTTTTATCAACACCATAAAGTTAAGAAGTGATGAGAAGCACATAAAAAGAAAAGCATGTCCCCTTGCATATTAATTTTTTTCTCTGCACAGAACAAGGCTTTTGCCTCACCAAGTACTTTAACCATGCATTTAGGGACTAGGAATCCATAAAACTAGTATGTCTTAGATTCACTAGAGAAGAAAATAAATGAACTTTTTGTTATAGTTAACTTCTTTCCTGTGACATAATTTTAACAATAGGAATAAAAAGGTTAATATTAACTTGATTACAGTTCTAACAGTCCCTCATATTGCTTCTGGTATTGTCCTGACAGCTATTGCCAAACAAGGGAAACTAGATGAGCAGAGAGTACCAGAACACTTGCTCTAAAGGCACATCCTGGGTGAGAAAGTGGGCAGGATGGAGGTGAGCAGCAGTTTGCTCAGAGAAAACAAATCTAGCCTTGCCAGGACCTGTCTGCTGTGCTAATGGGATTTTGTTCCCTCTTTCATCCTTTCTAAAACAATGCTTGGGTCACCGGGCCTTTCACAGGGTCTAGGGACGACGGGAAATACAGTGTAACTCTCTCTTCTCACATTACAGCGCAGTTCACAAGATAAACCCTAACAGAAACTGTAACTTTTAACTTATCACAGCAGAAAGCGCACACAGTTTCACACAACAAAAGGAAAGTAAATCCATGGCGTCAGAGCAGTTTTCCTTACTGGATGTCAAAGCTATGCTGAAAAGACATCCCAAAACAATGCAAGGCCATGAGAAACTGTTCACCAGCATCTCTGAACTACACCACATTCCCTGGCTGCAGGGATGGCCTCTCCAAGCGCCCACAATGCCTCCGATACACAATGAAAGCGGAGCGGAGAACCCGAGATTTCAACACGAGCAGAAATGCAAAAACAAACCCCACATTCTAAAACAGCACAGGGCTTTAGGAGATATGCTCAGTAAGATTACAAACAGCCTGATCTACCCGGATAAAATAATAATAATAATAATAATAATACGCTCTGCAAAACACGTTTCTGGCACAATCGACCGCGTGTGCGGGGTGGGAAGGGCGGGGGGCGCAGACCCCTCAGCCGCTCCCGCCACGCGTGTCCCGCGGGCAGCGACAGGAGGGCATTGTTTGTGTGCGTTTAAAACGCGGCCTCTCCAAGCGCTCCCGCTCCAGGCTCCGCATCCGAAGCAGCCCCGGCCCCGCGGGGAGATACCGGCAGCGGGTCCGCCCCGCACCCCCTCCCCGCACCCCCGGAGGGTCCGCTCCCGCACGGCGCCGATGGGAAGCGGCCCCAGGAGCCGCCCCCCAGCAGCGCCCACACACCTCGCCCGTCCCGCGGCGATCCGACCCCGCTGCTCCCGCGGCTCCCTCCCGGCCTTTGCCTCCCACCGCCTGGCCCGGCCCCGCCTCGCCCCGCAGGCCGCGGGGGCGGGTCCCGGTCCCGGCCGCCTCGGCCGCTGCTCTTCCGCGGCCTCCGGGTGCTGAGGGGTCGGGGTGGTCAAAGGGCAGATCAGGCCGAGACCCCTGCGAACAGTACCTGGGAGGAAAAGGAAGCAAGGAAAAGCCCTCCTGTCCGAACACCCTTGGGCTTAGAGACACAGGGAAGCCAAACAGTGTGGCCCAGGCGGGCGTGGGTGGTGACACGCCACGTGCAGCGATTGTGCAAACTTCCAAGCTTACCTAAAGACTCTGTGAAGCACCTAAAACATCAGCACTTCGGCCCCTGCATTGCGCTGGGGGGTCTGACCTTTTACCAGAGGAAAAACATGTAAAAATACTTGCGCTGCCAAGCCCTCAGTGCTGTTCCACCAGCAACGTGTTGCTGTGCAAAGTGTAATAGAAAATAAAGGAAACTCACAGCTGGCCACAGGCTTTGCCTACCGGTTTGCTAGAATGTGATTACAGAAGGAATCCTGATGCCTGAACTTCCCTCTGCTTCTTCAGAATGCTATTATGTTTCTCATGCTACTCCCACACCACTCCTCCTCAATGCTTTTGACTAAGCAGCTCATGATAAACTGGACTGAAGAAGATAGAGATACATGTACTCAGGTGTCCAGTAAAGGTTTCAGAAATAATCCTGAAGATGTGTGCAGAGGCAGAAAGGGAGACCATTTTTAAAGCTGCATCATTACGAAGAAACCTAGGCTTAGGTTCAGCATGTGTTCAGCATTCATTGGTGTCACTTCTGTGCTTCATGTTATGTTAAATACCTGCATGGCTCTTCTTATGAAACACAAAACATAACAAATCTTATTTGAGCAGAAACTGTAGTATCAGAGCTGGTTTTAAATGTTGGTAGAAGTCGGGTTCAACAGCCTTTGTTCTCACTAAGGACACAGCAAATAGTATTTCTGCTGAAGTCAACAAAACAATTCACATGAACATCGGTCCATCCCAGGGAGTGGATTTCCATTTCAAACACCATGGAAGCATTTCTGCAGCTCATAACTTACTTCAAGGAAGGAATTGTATCTTCGTAAATTTTTTGCAACACCTAACACATATCACAATCACATGGTGATTAATGCTACTGAAAGAAAACTGTGATTATCTTCTATTACCACCTTTTTGTTTGTTTGACATTCTAATCCATATCTGAAGTCAGATGAAAAAGCAGGTAAACCTATTACGTTAACAGTTAAACTAATTACACATTATTATACTTGAGAAGAAAAGCTGGTAATTGATTTATACACAGTTCTCAGAACTACACCTGGAAACACTGGAAAAACAGGAGAAAGGTTATTTTCATTTGTTGTAGGTAGAATATAAAAAGAAGCAGAAATGTAGCTAGAAATTCTATGAATTTCATGCTTTTCTTTGGATTTCACATTCCAGTTTCACAGATTATGGAAATTCAGATAGATTTATGTGAAATTGGGAAAGCTGCTATACTCTCAGTCTTTGAATTTTGAGGCCAACATCTTGGTAATTTTTTCTTACCCTCTTTGAATTCACCTGATTCTGAGGAAGGTACAGGTAAGAAGATATGAGGAAGAGAAGAAGTCAGAAAGGGGGGAAAAGAGGAGGAAAGGAGGAAAGAAAGAAAATTTAAAAAAAAAATAGAAAAATAGGGAAAAAGAAAAATAGAAAAGATAGACAAATATAAAAAGAAATATAAGAAAAGTGCAAAGTGGGCCCATAGTCAGTAAAGCAGAAATTAACTTATGCTCAAGGTCTATTTGCTTCTCAAAGTTCACTAGCAGCATAAAGTGCCTGTAGAACATTTGAAAACTACTATGATCTAAGTGAGGTTGGATACATAACTGTGGTGATAGTTGCTCCTGAGGGACCCATTCTTACAGTCCTTACTCATGTGAATTGTCCCTTGGATATTAATGGGATTACTCTTGTAAATCAGGAATGCCATATCAGCCCAATGCCCAGGGTTATACGGATCATGAAGGGCTTGATCTTGCAAACCTCATTCATGTGAGCAACCCTTTTTCATGACAATTTTCCCATCGACTTGAAGAACTATCCATATAGCCAGAGACAGTAGAATCAGGACATGAGTTTAGGGTCAGCATAAAAGTAGGAATAAAAAGAGTTTTTCATTTAACCTCCAGAAAGGAATAGATACTCCCCAAGAAGGCCAGATAAGTGCAATCATTCTATTTTAACTGCAGGGAGAGCAAGGGAGAGGTATATATTGATCAGCCTTGTTCCATCCTGTCTCCTTCCCTGGCTCCATTTATTCACCATAATTAGAGTGGTAAAGAAGGCACCGATAGTACTTTTTCAGCATACCTCAAGGTTTTGCTCACCATCCCCTTGATAATATAAATTAGTACTTTATTCAAGTAAAATTGACAAATTATACCTCCTGCGTGAAATAAACCAATGCTTTACAGAGAAAAAGAAATCATGAACACTAATATTCAGTCCATATTTTATCTCAAAATCTGAAGTACTGTTTAAATGCCAAATGGAATGTTTAGTATAACAGACCAGAGGCAGTTTTTGTGCTACTCCATTAAAACCTACATGTTCTGATTTGGGAGAACTTTCACTATATTACGTGTTGAGACCTGTGTAATTTCGCTGTGATCCACACACTTCTGCTTCAGAAGATCTCAAGCTGCTGCCCGGTTTCTCTGAGGAACTGCTTCAAAAACAGCAAGAAAGGATCTTTCTTCAGTCGGGAATGCTCTCAGCTGGGTATACCTCAGCAACAGTTTCTCTAGCATAAGCTGCCTTTTGGTTGAGCTTCTAACTCCAAGAGAGCAGTGTTCATCTATCCACTGCTTTTATTCATGCCACTGTGAAGAGGACAACAGTTCTCAGTATCACAATTTGGCTCTTCTTTTTCAGAGTTCCAGATGCTCATTTGTGAGACAGAAACAATAGCTTATGATTTAAGTGAGCAGTCACAGGGGGTGGTGACCAACAAGCAGTGAGAGAAAAGGATACAATCTCCACAAAACACAGGAGTGGTCGTATCTGCTGATTATATGCCCAGTTATACATAATTTATACATTATGCAGAAATCCCATAAAGCTCATCTACTGGTCATTTAAAGAGACAACTAGTAAGGTTATCCTTAGTCTTTCAGATCAAAAGTCAAGTACATGCATATCATAACCAGTACTCCAACACAGGAAAATTATCTGTTGCCCTACCGACCTGATGTCCCAGTTAAGGAACAACTCAGAAAGGGATTTTTAAGATGTTGAGGTTTTGATCATTAATATCATAAGATAAAATAATGTCATGAGAGTCCAGTAGGTTTTGCTTGTTCTACTGCTCTACTCTAGAAACACAAGGAAATTATATAGCTGGAGACCAAACTGGAAGATTTCTTGCCACAGTGCCTCTCCAAATGCACACAGAAAACTTACACTCACTTGGAGTGAAGCTACTGAGAAGACAGAGATAATAAAAGGTATCCAGCAAGAGGTTGCTGAGTTATCTCGATAGACAAGATATAACAGACAGACCTGATATGTCTGTAGACAAATACACAATTTTTTTTTCTGAAGTTCTCCCAAATCATACAGTGAGCTTTTATGCTCATGTAGATGTAGGTATTATTTAAGGCAGTGAAAGAGCCAGGTCCTGTGGACTGAAGCAAGCTCATTTTTCTGTGAGGGTACTAAACTGCTCTATGACCTTTGGTCACTGTTAATCTTAACTGGATGCATGTCACAGTTGAATGTCCGTAGGCTAAATGGTCCTTGCACACATTATTTGTCATTCAAATTAGAGTTTCTTAACACTTTGTATATATGCCACTGATGGGATGTGAACCATGTTAACTAATAGAGCAACTTCTGCCTGGCAGTTTAGTGATGATTAGAAGAACTGAAGGCAGGGAAGGAAAGGGGTACTCCTGCCTAGGTGCTTATTTTTGAGGGGTAACCATCTGAAAGAATTAACTTAAGTGTTCATTGTAAGCAAGATATTGATCAGTAGTAAGCACCTGTCCTGCAGACAGGCAAGTATAACCAATCTGATGGTAGGACCATGCATGGGATTCAGTAAAAGGATTGCATCAGAGGATGTGGAGAGAGGAAACAGGGCCCCCCAGGTTCTGGAAGCCTGTTTTCACCCTGCAGGAAATGCAGGCAGGAGATTTCTGCCTTCAACAATTCAGCTGTCTCCAACTCACAGAGTAAGAAAAGTTGTGTAATGAATGCAGAGTATGTTCTGCTAAGTGAGGAAAGGGTGTCCAAAGTGTACCTGTCTGGGAGTTACATTTGTATGTGAGTTGCTCTTTTGTAAGAGTTAGGAGGCAGACTGTATACTCAGTGTGAGGCAAACATAATTGTTTAAAAAAATCAATTATCTTCAATTATAGGGCCTACTCAAACAGTACTTTTGTAGTATGCACAGCTTCCCCAGGTAGCACATACTATTTTTATTAGTAATCTCCCCTCCTCCAGCTCTCTATACAGAGCCAAGTTTAGAGTCAGCAAAATTACTTGGAACCAACACATTTTATCCCCAACAGGCCAACCAACCACAATTAAACTGCATTACCACACTTTAGGCTTTAAAGGGATTCCTTTACTGCAGTATATAAAGGGCCATAAGGAGTGACAGAGTGGGAAAGGAGAAGACAAACATTTCACGTGTAACAGGTTAAAGTCTTCCTCGATGTACGTCCATTGACTTCAGCTGGCCAGGGCTCAATACAGACAGTTCAATATTTAACAATCAGCAGCTTTTGCTTAGTCAGCAAGGAAAGAAACAATTTGAGGTCCAGAGCCTTCCCTGTGCTTTCTGTCTTCCTGAATCTTCACTTAGTTGCAGTAGCTCTCTCCTAACAGGAACGACACTCTGCAGGGTTGGCTGTCGGATATTTTCTGCTGCGGTGCAAGATTATTCCTTGTGGTTTTATGGTGCAGTAGTAGACTTTAATAGTCACCCGAGACAATTATTCAGATACTGTATTGTACAATAAGATTGCTTTTGAACAGCTGCAGAAATACTTAGCAGAGACTCGCTCCCTAAGGCCCTGAGATGTGAAATAAAAA